CTTTTTAAAATAAAATTTAGCTTTTTCTTATATTTTTAGCAAAATCAAGATTTTTGCACTAAGGCCTGGTTCAAACGTCGAATTTTGGATGTGTCGAATACAATGCGCATTTCATTCGAGCGAATTCAATGAAATTCGACGTTTGATTCAAACGTCGCATTTTGCATGCATTTAATTCGAAATTGTAAGTGTTGTAGAGTGTATACACGCCCCTTTGATAGTTTTAATTAATAGATTGACATTTACTGGTATTTTTAAAGTTTCGCTTAAGAATAAACACAGTTTGTCAGTAGGGCCATTCAGTATATGACTATACCAGCGAAATAAGCCGTGCTCGTCTTATTTAAAGCACGAAAAAATACTATGTAGTCCCGTATAAATGTTCTTGTTCGCGACATTATTTTCGCTTGTATATAAACTCACATCAGGCTATTGACTATCTTTCATACAAAAACTAAAAAAACCCATGGAATTATTACCATTCTATGTCCTACACGCGAAATTTGATCCATTAACACTACATGCAGTCCTTCTTTTACCTCGTTCCAGACTTTTTCCGCGAGCCTCACCCTAGCAGAATTGAATTCGACACTCAATTCAATTCATTGAATTAGACTAGTATATAAATAATAATTTGTAAGTACGCATCCCTTTTGGAAATCAGCTTTTGCTGAAAAGGCCAATGTGTTTAAATAAAGTTTATCTATCTATCTATCTATCTATCTATGCAAAATGCGACGTCTGAAACAGGTCGCATTTAGCTCGCACTTAGCTCGCATTATGCGACCGGTCGGGTCGAATTTAAGGTCGACCGCAATTAAAAACGTCGCATTTAATCGTTTCAGACGTCGAATTTTGCATGCACATTATTCAAGCAATTGAATTCGACACATGCGAAATGCGGCGTTTGAAACAGGCCTAAGTGTTTTTAGGGATTTAACCAAATAAACTTTCTAAAGGTATTTCTGAGTTAGAAAAATGCGTAAAAAAGTTTAATCCACCATGAGTTTAGTTTTTTAGTTTCATCCGTCCAGGGAGTGAAAACAACTTGCATCTTCGGAAAAAAATTAATTTCGTAGTGGAAATAAATAGTTTATAATTGCCCAAATTCAGTTTAAAGTCTTTTATCCAGGACATTTTTCAACAGCTTTTGATAAACGAACTTAAATTCTTTTAAATTCTTGCACATCCATTGTTTCTTCCCAAACGAAAAGCCCCAAAACTTGTTTTTCTCATATTAATAACTTAAAACAAAATTTTCGGTAGCGCCCGCAATTTACTGACCAGCGAAAGCAAATTTCCTACCTGTTGCGTTTACACCGGTTTTACAGATTCTGTTTTTTTTCTTTTCCGGGTTTTGAAAATTTTGGCTTTTTTTGTGGCGAGTTTTACAGATTCCAGTTTTACAGTCATGAGTGTAACAGATTCCGGCATCTCGTTCCTTGATTCCCCGTTCCAGGTTCCATAAATAGCCCCCTTGCCAATAGGCTTGACGTCACTTACAGACAGCGTTTATTGGAATAAATATAAACTCCCAACACGGTTTTGATAGTCGTAACTATATATTTTTCATGCTAGAATGAAGAAAAAGGAAAAACCTCCGAAATAAATATTAACGAACAGCGAAAGATGAGTCATGCGTGCGAGCAAAGTTTCGGTGCAACCAATGGAATACCGCTCGGCGATACTGTGGGCACGGCAAGAATGGAGGAGAGAAAACCTCAATTAGAAGACGAACTCGAGCAGCTCAGAACTAAAGAAGAATTTACAAATTTTATAAAGAAATATTTCGCAATTAAGCAAGAAGAAGTTGATTCATTGAATACAGAGTTAGCAAATGTTAGAGAAACTCTTCAAGCTAAGATTGAGGAGTTAATATACGCATATGATCAGGAGTGCTCCTTGCGCCTGCAGATCAATGGGATGCAGCATGGTGAAAAGAGCAAAGACCCAAACCAAGTACGTAAATATACTGTATTATGATTTATGACATAGTAGTTTGCAATATTTTGGTTTTACCGAATATTTATCGCCATGCGCCCAGAGCAACTGAAACCAGGTGTTACAATTAACGTACTTCACACTACGATATTCATTCTTATCATATTACCGAGTGAACAATAACACAACTTAACATAACACTTGAAGAACAGAAGAAGAAGATAAATTAAATTACAATCCAGAGAACAGAATAATTTGTAGAATTATTCAATTAATTAATAAATATATATATATATACCGGGTGGCGCAAAAAAAAGTTAACCTGTTTGATTTATTTTAACTTAAAAGCTAAAAGAGCTATTACACATGAACTACGTGCATTGCATTCAGTATTGTCTGACTTAAATTTTGATATACGCCCCGTGCAATTTCGTGACCGAGAGAGCTGCGTTTAAACTTGAATAAACACATTGGGAAGTGTCGAGAATTAGCTAAAAACGGCTTGTTAAACTAATTTGATAACCGTTACCATTTTATTGTAAATATTCTTTTCAATGAAGTGAATTTTAAATTAAAAATCTTTATTGGATGGATGTGCTCTTTTATTTTTGTTTAAGATCTTTGGGAATGCATAAAAATTAAATTATGGAACAATTTTGATTAAAAGATTTATTCTAAATATTCAATGACCCTGGGGAATCAAATTCTAATGTTCCAAGAAAGAAACGTCAAGTGTTTTTTTATAAATACGCCTCGTTTAACGAAGGACCAAAGAGTTTCGATATTTTTAGAACATGCAATGGTAAATAATGCTCGTGAGGTTATCCCGACGGCGTTGGGCAGGTCTCTGACAACGAACATGTACTTTCTGACTATAGTGCGCCTAAGCACAGGTTATTGCTGCATTAAATATTTGATAGGCCGTTTTTGTCTAATTCTCGACACTTTCAAAAATGGTTACTCAAGTTTAAACGCAGCTCTCTCGGTCAATATTGCACAAAAATGCACAAGGCGTATATCAAAATTTAAGTTAGACAATACTGAATGCAATGCACGTAGTTCACGTGTAATAGCTCTTTTAGCTTTTATGTTAAAACAAATCAAACAGGTTAACTTTTTTTGCGCCACCCGGTATATATATATGTTAGTTGTGTAATTGTACACTCTGTAATATGTTAAGATGAAAATGTTCTAGAGTGTGTATTATATAATTTCCATACCCAGCGCAAGCAGAAAGATGTTGTCTGCCGCGGCTGGGTCTTGAACCCGCGACCTTCGAATTACTAGATCGACGCTCTACCAACTAAGCTACACGGTCAGACGGATTTAAGACTGGAAATTATGAAATATATACTGAATGTCATAAACATACTCGTTTATATTAATTCAGCATCGAACAATACTAGTTCTGCAAGTGTTATAGTTAGTTGTGTAATTGTACACTCTGTAATATGTTAAGATGAAAATTCAGTATATATTTCATAATTTCCAGTCTTAAATCCGTCTGACCGTGTAGCTCAGTAGGCAGAGCGTCGATCTAGTAATTCGAAGGTCGGGGGTTCGAGACCCAGCCGCGGCAGACAACATCTTTCTGCAGCTTACGCTGGTATGGAAATTATATAATACACACTCTAGAACATTTTCATCTTAATATATATATATATATATATTAAGCAGAAACTCGACGTTTCGAGCGAAGGCCCTTCTTTGGCTACTAACTCTTGACGAAGGGCCTTCGCTCGAAACGTCGAGATTCTGCTTATTTTTTAAGGTAGTAATATAACCACTCAGCACAGCATTTTGCATGTTTATTCACTATTAGGCAGGGGAGAGAGGCACCCGCCCCAAAATAATTTCTGAACAACTTTGAATGATAGCTGAAATACTGTACAACAAAGCTGTAGCATTAATTTTACAATTTTGAAAGCACTGGTTAAACCTTTAACTTGGACAATATAATGCATGCAGTTTAAGGCTAAATACATGCATGTAGATTTGCAGCAACAGCAAGATTTATTTTAAAACTACATCCGAGTAACAGACGAGTACAGGCGAGTAATAGACGAGTACAAACTCGAGTAACAGACGAGTAACAGATGACTAACACGACTACAAACGACTACAGGCGAGTAAAGGCTATATACCTTTGAAATAGGGAACGGGGAATGCGTGAATGCTATACAACTTTATTAATTTAATTATGGCACACAAAACGTATATGCCATGAACGCCTTTTGTTGTTTTGTAGAGTATATTCTTAACTCATACTCGTGCTTTTAGTGACTTTTTCAACTGTCAAAGCATATACTGATAAAAAAAAACTTGAAAAAGAGTTGTCTTAAAATATCCGTTTGTTAAAAGGAAGGTGGTGATAGTGTTTTCTTCTAACTAACTATACATTTTGAGTTTTGTTGTTTAGCACAATTATATAGAGAATGTATATGCTCTGATTGTCAGTGGCCAGTTGTAGAAAACGCGTTTAGCTAGCGTTTAGATTACTCTAAATATTTTACTTGAAAAGAAGAACAATTACGGTTGTTTCACTCCATGTGAAGAGTTTAAATTTTAGCGTCCTTGCGAAAATGTAATGTTTTTGAATACTAATAAGCACTGAGCCCTTCGATCGGCTTTAACGGCGAAGCCAAACCCTTGCAGATCACATGAAAAATGCTACAGAGCATTTCTCAATTAGGTTTCACATTGACCTAACTAACGTTTTTGGGGACCGATAAGCACGTACTGAGCCTCGTGTTATTCCAGAGCGTAATTCGGAAATGGTCTATTAGTTTTGTTCTTAACTGATTTAGATCTCCACTGTACATTAATTGCCTGATAATTAAAACTTATTTCTATACTTTGTGTAGTGTAATATATATATATATATATATATATATATATATACTAGATTATATTAAATATATGAAACAACGGCTTGTGTCCTGACATATTCTCTTTAACAAACGGATATTTTAAGATAACTTCTTTTCAACTTTTTTATCAGTATATGTTTTGGCAGTTGAGAAAATCACTAAAAAACACAAGTACGAGTTAAGAATACACTCCGAAACACTATGCGTGTCATAAGTTAATGAAGTTATAGCATCACCCCCATTCCCCGTTTCCTATTTTAGAGATAGCCTTTACTCGTCTGTAGTCGTTTGTAGTCGTCTGTTACTCGTCTGTAGTCGTCTGTTATTCGTGTGTAGTCATCTGTTACTCGTCTTTATTCGTCTGTCACTCGAGTGTAGTTCTAGAATAGATCCAACAGCAAATTGTCATATAAGGCTGAAATCTGAATTCCCCCTTTCCAACATCTCGCAAAAGGGCCTGCCACTGGATCAATACATGAATCAATGCATGCCAAATGCATGACGATTTAATTACAGACTCGAAATGAAGTCTTACAATTGACTAAATATGTAAATTATCTTACCTCTTGAGGTTGCTTAACGTTTGCAGCGGATTGACTGTCCTTACTCATTTCTTAATCTTTCTACAAATAAATTTTTAATGTGCAATAAAACATTAGATAAGATTGCTTTGGCGCAGACTATAAAGATATTCGTATGTAACATTTTCTTTATATTATGGGCAGCTCACTTTATAGAACAACATATTGACTAGCTTTTGTAAATGTAAAATGCAATGAAGACAAAAAACTTGTAATGCTTCTTTTGAATTACAGGAACCACTGAATATATTAATGAAATACAAAACAACGGTATAAGGGACCGGTCATAAAGTAACTGTTAGGGTGGGCTGGAGTGATTTTAGATGGGCCATGGAAAATCTTTGGGCAGTTTCGATGGGCCGTCAATTTTTTTGTATGTTCACGGTTGGGCCACCAAACAAAAACCCATGCATGTCTACTTCAAGAAATAAAGATATTAATATTAAGAACTATCCAAATTATCAAATGCAAATGATGCTATTGAAGCCAGTACTTTGTTTATACAACAACAAGAAGTGGTCGAATCACAGCAAATACAACCAACTGGAGAGCAGCTCAGTATCAATGTATTGATCAAGCTTGGTGGAATTATGTAGCTATGTCAATACAGTGCCGAGTATATTTACAATGTTCATCCCTGCAAGTTTTTTTTTATTATAAAAGTGTATTTTCCCAATTTAGATTGGGTGGGTCATGAAAAGTTTTTTGTAATATCGGATGGGAGTTGAAATTTTTATCTACATCCTAAGAAGGGCAACCTGAAAGTCAAGCATATATGCTGCATTTATACCTAAGGAGGGACCACAACCAAGTTTTAGGCCGTCACAGTGAACTATCAGATTACCCAGACATGCACACGAGAGGCATTGTATTAACTTAATGTACTATGTAGTATAAAGTAAAGATGATTATATCGAACATGACTACCTTTTAATCCACTGAGTGTCTGAGTGCTGGCCCTTGACAAGCAAAATCGTCTAGCATTGAGCAAATTAAAATAATAATGTAGGACGCATTAGGAAACAATACCACGTAAATAAAGGTTGAAGGACGCGTTAGTGAACTTTTCATGATAGTGGATATTGACTTTGCTTCCTTTATAAAAAAGAAAGGCATGACCTAGTTAATATTGGCAATTCAAAACCGATTTACAAACTTACTACCTGACAGCCCTGAGAGAATGCTTCGACGAAGAAGATCCGAGGACATGGAAGACTATTTGTCTGAAGTGTAACACTAGTCGTTACTTACGTTCTGAACTAACTTGTTGTTTTTAGACTCCTGTCCATGTACTGTATGTTATATGTTCTGTACTGTATGTGTATTTTTGTATAGGGCCCACAGTAATTGGTTTACACTGTTGTGGTGTCCCTGCCATTTTTGTCCATGTTTATTGTGTAGATGTCTATTTGCTGTTCTGTTAAGTGTTTTTGGCAAAGTTTAATAAATAAATAAATAAATAAATAAATAAATAAATATTAGTCTGGTTAGTCATTGACAATCATAAAGCCGCTAGAACATGTGCTTGCCTAGAATATCGGTGCTTGCCTAGATTATGTGCTTGTCTAGATTATGTGCTTGCCTAGAATATGTGCTTGCCTAGAATATGTGCTTGCCTAGAATATGTGCTTGCCTATAATATGTGCTTGCCTAGATTATGTGCTTACCTAGAATATGTGCTTGACTAGATTATGTGCTTGCCTAGATTATGTGCTTGCCTAGAATATGTGCTTTCCTAGAATATGTGCTTGCCTAGAACATGTGCTTGCCTAGAACATGTGCTTGCCTAGATTATGTGCTTTCCTAGAATATGTGCTTATAAAAGTTAACTTTGTCTTATTTGAAAGAACTTTTAAAGTTATATTAGATATGTTAAATGTTCTTCTGGAAGCTCACGCGCCTCACTCAACGACACAGCCTCAGGTTTAGTTTTACATCAACAAGAAAAGGCAGAATCTTCAGAAAATTGCTGTTGAGTGTTGTATTCGGAAGAACATTTATTTAACCAATGTCATGATTGAATTTTACTTGATATTTGTGACCGAGCCATTCCACTTATGCACCTATCAATGTCTTCCCCCAACGGGGGAGCAGGGCATACACGGGCAAATGACAACAAATCAATGTCTGCCTCCTCCGCAGGCCCTCGTGGCGTCATGGGAAGGTCACACACACTCTGGCGAGGGCCTGCGGAATCTTGTAAAAAAGAATGGCGCCGGCGTCACGTCACGTCACAGGGCCGTAGGAAGCTCTTTCCGATTGGGGGGGGCTGAAAGCGAGGGCCGAAGGCCCGAGGAAATTTTTAAATTTAGAGTCTCTAAAATGCCATTTCCTGGACTTTGGGGGAAGATTTAACAGAATTCTGATAGTCAGAGAACAGCGTTTTAGTATGTCGAAATTTACAGGAAAGCATGGGCCAGACTGTAGTATTATAAATGCGCGGCGGGAATTTTCGTCGTAAATGGCAGTTGCGCGGAAATGAAGGCAGAACATTTGAGAAAATTTCGAAAATCTGGAGTCTCTAGATGGTCTGAAATGGCATTTTCAGAGTTTTCTTTTGCAAGACCCAACACGCAAAAGACAAAATAAATCATTAGTTCATCAAAAATGTGCAGATTTTGTGGGATTTTCTTGAAAATGCGCGACAGAAATTCAGCTAAAATTTCTACGCGAGGAACGATCTGGAGTATGAGTAATATCTTCATTCTTTGCAGTTTGTCACAGATTAAATGATAAAGTTTGCATGATTTTGAAAAAAGAATGATTATTAGCAAATTATTGGGGGGGCTGCAGACCCCCCAGCCCCCGCGGTTGCTACGGCCCTGCGTCAGCAAATGAATTTATACATAATCTTGAATATACTAACAGGATATAAATAAGCGGCGTGAAACTTGTAAATTAAAATGGCGACTCTAAGGACGTGGAAGGAAGCATTTTTAACGATG